ACGAGTAGACATTGCAATGTAATGTTTTAATTGATCAATCCCAACAGACTTTACGAGATGCTACTAACCATCATCATCATCTACTAACCATGGTCAACCAGCATTCAATGCGGTCGTCTTTCCAATTTTCCATATATGGAAAATGAGGTGACCGGTCAGTTGTTCGTGGTCTTTTAAAATGAAATTTTGATTTGCGAGCGATAATTCATATTATTCGGTCTAAGCTCCAATATTAAATTCTGTGAAAGTTGAAGAATACGCTCTGATGCTCTGTTTAAAAAAGAAAAAACAACATAACTCAAGCGATTTGAAAGATTTTACCACAGAAAATAGGGCGTCGATCCATGAAATAAGTTCTCTTTGTGGTATGAGTAGCTACAGTAACAGCCCGCTTCTAAAAGCCTGAAATTTTCGATTAAGTCTAAATAGTTACTTCAGGCAAACTTTAGTCTAAGGAGCCTAAATATCAGACATGATCTTAATTCAGTAGTTTCTACAATTCGCTTGTAACAACCCCACAAATAAGACCCTAACCTTTCCTAAATAAGTTGTTATATTTATATAGATGGTGCAAAAAATATGGAAGTTTCAGTCTAACATGAAACCCTGCTTGTTCTTCACGCGGGTTATCACTATATGTAAACAACCCTTCAAAARTGTTCTTTTATGAACGATTTTTACCATTTCTTTACAGTTTTTCATTTTTTCCTGTGAATAAATCTGGTAAGTTTGTAACTATGGACACTGTTGCTATGGTGTTTGTTACATCTGAGGAAGACTGGTATCTTTCTCAGACAAATCTATCTAGCAATAGCAACAATTTAAAGTGCGGCTGTTGAAACGGCAACCTTGAGCTTAAGTGTGAAGTTTTGTGAACAAGCCAGTAAAATTTAGAATTTATGGCGTAACATCGTAGGGGTRCTTTGATGTTACTTGGTAACAGAGTTGCAAGATTTATATCTGTCTGGTTTGTTACCTGACTATCAGGTTTGCTAAGTGGAGCCGGTTTCAGTAGTTACACTTAATAATGTTGCCAATACTGTTTATGAATACATGATCTCCATTAGTGGTTTACACAACGTTTGAATCGAGAAAACTTTTCAATGTTATTTCCTATGCGCACTTCGCTTACGGGCAATTAGACATAATAATAATAATAATAATAATAATAATAATAATAATAATAATAATAATCTAAGGCTTATAAAGCGCTTGCGTTACAATCATTTTAGAGGCATTTCATTTAAACTGTTGAAGTAACCATTGCTTTTTGATACCTTCTTTGCAGCAAGGATTAGAGCCAAATCAAGCCAAGGGAACGACAAAGTTTTCAAGAGATAATTCAGAAGTTTTGTATAAGCAAAGCCAAGGCTGCCTGCATTGTGTATGTGGTGTTTCGATGTGTCTTTTACAAATAAATATTTAAAGAAAACAAAGTGTTTTTGATTAAATTGCTTGTCTTGTTTTTCTCAATTTGTGAGAACTATAATGGTCACCTGTTGAATGTTAATTTGTTCGTCTTTAAGCTTTTAAAAAAGCTCACCTTGCTCCTAAAGTAAGTACCAGATCAGGCCATGGAAGTATAAAATTAGAAAATGCTGCCATTTTTACAAAAATAGGAGAATAGCCGAAGCGCTGTACATAAAACCTAGCCTGAATGAASAAGAATAGTCTATCCCCTTGAGCCTTATGAACTAATTTAATCATATTCATTTYTGAGTTCAGTTTGCAGTCGATGATCTTTGGATAAAGGCCGAAATATTCATATTAGTAAAATGATAATTCTCGTATTTCGGCTTTTTATTAAAAGTACCAGATGGCATTAAAACCACCGTTGGAAAGGGGAAACTGACCAATTTTCAATTGTGTTTTGATCATTCCTTTCATTACTCATTTAGCTTAAGACTTATCACAACTAACTTAGCTTTTGGATCAGTTAAGGCCCGTTTACAATTGCGATTTTTGCAGCTCGATAATCGCCACTTTGCTATCTCGCAATTTAAATCGTACGTGAAGTCACCCTGCCTGCGATTGTTGCGACGATGGAAAATCGCCGTGAAGTTGCGGACAATTTTCAAGCATGTTCCAAAATCAGGGATGGTCGCCGCGAGAATCGCTCTGTAAAAATCGCAAATGTAAACGGTCCTTTAGTAAGGAATAAGAATGTTTGGAATGATGCCTATTCGAGAATGACTTGCATTTTGTTCACATTCATGGTTGAAATTCATGATTTTCGTCGTGGAATATCTCTTTAGAGATGCCACCCATTGAAGTAATGAGTAAAGCATGAAACAAGTTCATATTCAACTCCAATTTTTTTGAATGCTTCTTGTTTTAAAATAGACATGTTATTCATGGTCGTTCAGAACAGCTGTAAAGTTTGACCATGTAATTGTCCTGTCKCATAATTAGGTCACACTAAAATATTCTATTGTTTTAACGTTTAGGATTTTGGTCGACAAAGGGGATCAGAGTGACTGCATATCAAATAAAATGTAGATGAGCAATCATTGATAAATAATGTACATCAGAACTCAATACACTAAAGTTCTACTTTCGGGAAGAATCAATAAATAGTTCCAAACGAGTCTTTCTGAGCACAATAAACATTACTGTSCCGTCATTATACCATAGGGCGAGCAATTTGTATGCAAAATTGACAGGGATATCTCTTCTCAATATAATAATTACCTATGTTTGCGAATAGACTTAATAGGACCGATCCTATTATTCATTGTAAATGAACGTTCGACTTCAGTGTTTTCACCTGTCGATGTCCACCATTTTTCAAATAGATGGATTACCTCAGACATGGAAGAGATCCATGATCAGAAGAAATTCACATAACATTGCCGCAAACTTACATTAAAAGTATTTGAAGAAATATGAACTTTTTTCTTTATTTTTAATAGCTTTTCACTGCCATTATATAAAACGACGTAGCAATCAAATTGATACTGAATTCATAAGGATCGCGCAACATGATTCGAAGCGTCCAAGGGTGATCTAAAGTTTTATACTTTTCTACCTTCTTATACGCGAGAATTTTGAAACTCTTGATTATCTTATCTTCAGTGCCGAAGAGGCCCTTTTTGAAGTCTTTATCTATACAAAGCTGCGACTTTTTTGTAGGTTTTTGGCTCAGGATACTTATTTTTAATGCATATTTTCGATTGACATTTTCGGATTGTGCATATTGTTTTTGAAAAGAAAACGAAAAAAAACTGCTATTACTATCGATCGATCCTTTCCTGGTTTCTCTCTCTTCAGCTACTTTGCTTCTAATTCCCTTGAGTCTCAATTTCATCATCATCACATTGAAGGCTTTTATTATTATTATTACAATTATTAGACTTATGAAAATACAATGATATGATATAACTTTATTGCCATTTTATTGCAGCATTGGAAAGCAAAGATTTGAACARAAGAGCAGATATACTATAACTGAAAATCACAATAGAATTAAATGCATAAATATACAGGTTGAGAATGATATATGTACATATGGAAATACAATGATCATATGTCAAGATACGCACTAGGCCGATTATTTTGAAAATTCTTTCTTTAACTAAATATTAACAGCGCAATTGCTATTATTGCAATTGATATTRTCAATGTTATTGCTATTGGTGTTGCAGTTGTTCAAGTCGTCACTGTTCTGCCTTCTGAAAAATCGCCATGGTAACAATTGAAGGGCAGCATTTCGCATGTCTTGTATTCTCCAGAAATATACAATTGGGTTGATAGCGCTGTTCATAAACAGAATGGTATTGACCACGCTCGCTGCAACATATGTATTGTTAATTTTTCCCGTACATTTTTGGATAATCCAGAAACATATATACGGGGCATAACACAGGAAAAATGTTCCAAGTATAAAGTACATAATGTTAAACGATCTCTTAAAGTTTACTGCTGCCCCAGGCTGCATATTTTGCAGTTGAACATGGATTTGCGCTGAATGTTGACGGACTATGCGAGATATTCTCAGCATCAGACCAATATTTATTAGCAAAAGTAAAAGCATTAGATAGTTAATTGCAGTATGGACCCAAACAAATTCTTCATTGATGACGGCAGGTAGAGAACCCCATAACGCACTGAATGTCCAAATTGCAATTAACACCATTGAAGTCCGTTTCGTTGTGACGAATTCCTGGTATCTGAGATGAAGGTGGAGAGCTAGAAATCGATCGACGCTAATCGCAGTTATTGTGAAAAGTGATGCATTTATTAATGTCGTTTTAACAGTCTGATATACTTTAAAAAGTTTCTTGTCCAAGGCGTAGTTGCTGGTTGCTGAAAAAACGAACGTACAGTAAATAGGTTGCAGCAAAGTTCCAACTAAAATGTCAGTGACGGCTAAGCTTAGGATAAGAATGTTGGCGGACGATTCTCGCAAAGCTGGCGTCTTTACAAAAGTCATAATGATCAAGAGGTTCAAAACTGTCGCTAATACACCACTGAAAGAGTTAACAACAATCATCGACACAGAAAACTGAAGGTGTAACACCTGTTGTGGTTGCGCGGTCGTTGCGTTGTTCATGTTTGTACTCTTGTATTATGCTTTTCTGCTTTTCCTCGATGTATTACCACTGAGATCAATGAACTAATATCAAGATGTCGTAGTCAATAGAATGATAGAGGTATTCACTACTGAATTGGCAGGAACATTGGCAGGAACTACTTCTCTAGTTTTAGTAGGGTCTTTTCTTCACGTGGTCTATTAGAAGAGTACCCCAGAGTCCTAGGAAGGTAGCATATTTTCTTACCCAGAATTGATCGCTTTCAAATATGAGGTTGTTTTTCCTATTGCTCTTTTCCTCAAGCGGTATTTAAGAGTAAACACTGTACGAAACTCAGGCTACAAGATTATGAAAGGTTAGCGTCAAAACGGATTGTTTTAAAAGCTGAACTTAAGGCACACCCCAAGCTCACGAACTGTTAATAATATAGTGTTACGACG